ATTATGCCTTTCATTTGGGATGCTTCAAAGTACTTTTCAAGCAGCATGCTATTATCATAGTATTAAACTAGGAACCTACCTGAGTTTTGAATCGGACAAGGTTCACATGGATCTCCCCAAGCACGGCCGACTGAGCAGCAACAAATCATACGAGTTTCATTTGACATCATTGGATGTTCACATACCAGGCGGGGTGGAATCGTTGAAGTATTGTAAGCTTGCCGGAAGCAGTTTGATTTCCGCATATCTAAAGTAAATAAATTCAAAACTTTTAAATTTTGTACAAAATGCTTTTATTTCGCATGGTTTTCGTATCTGCAATATATATATATATGATGTACTAGCGTTTGTCAGGAATAAATAGACTGGTGAAGAATCATAGACGTAGTCGTAGCTTAAATTATCAGACGATAAGTTTAAAAAACAGGATCCATTTATTATTATTCAGGAGAAATAGCAGTTACAAAAATTAAAACTTCGGAGTAAATAAAAAGAACTACTAATAACTTTATGTATGAAGTTTACTTATCGTTACATTAAAGAAAAGACCCCGATATTCTTTTGCGAGTCCTTTTATAGCCTCTGGAAAGGCGGAGCTTCCAAGAATGACTTCAGCCTCGTCAGCCATTCAGTTCGCTTAAATATCTCCAGAAATCTATAACTGTACGTGTAGAAAGGCGAGAAAAACAACTTGACTACGGGGCTGTGGATTTAATTCCATGTACTTTCAAATAAGAGAACGTCGCCATTAAAAAATGAAAAGAACATACAATTAGAATTTTAAGTGTATTCTTGACTATGGAATTTTATTATATATGTATCCTTCGGGAGGCAACGTTACTCACGTCCGTGATATCCTTAATTCACACGTGCCTCTTTGGTGGTGCTAAATGAGTAACAGCTATGGCTAAGGCGGTTCAGAGTAAAGCAAACAGAGCTTTTGTTTTTCTATTCTGCAGTGCAATGCTTTAGGATTATCTTGCGTTATGTTTTCAGAAATTAACAGGTTAGTCGTTGAGGAGAACGTCGATGTTCTGGTGATTCAAGAAGCAAATATTACAGAAGACAAAATAAAGTATTATAATATGGAAAATTTCACTATTCATGGACTTTTCAAAAGCAGGCAGGTTGCAACTGGTATTTTAGTGGCAGTGCGAAATAAACTGACATCAACGTTTGAGGTGTTGACAACAGTAAACAACCATGACACAGCAGAAATTGTGGGAGTAGATGTTTGGAATGAGAATACTCTTTTTAAAATTTTTGGAATATATAGTCGACAAAACAATAAAAATGTAAATTTAGATGCTTTAATACCTCATCGAAATACTATAATTGTAGGTGATTTTAATGTTGCTTCCCCTACCTGAGGATACACTTAACAAAACCAAGTAGGGCAAACTATTGAGGACTTTGTAGATAGTAATGCAATGTTAGTTATCATCCACTATTCAGGCAGTTCTACTAACCCTCATTTAACCATAGTTTCAGCAAACCTAATTGGCTACTGCAAGAAAACTGGGGACGCAAGAAGTGGTCACCGAATGGTAAAAACAACAATTACTACCAACCGAAAGCAAATAAGAAATAAGGCAAGAATTATGTGGAACTTCAAAAAGGCCAATTGAAAGGCTTTCACAGAAGATATGGAACATCAAATAAACACTCTTACGAATAATGCTTTATCTCTACAGGCAGAATCAGCTTTTACTTCATCCCTCCAAACGTGTGCCAAAAAGAACATCCCGAGAGGCAAGAGGCCCAACTACCAACCATTTTGGAACACTAACCTAGAAAATCTAAGAGAAATCAGAGAGCAAGCAAGAAAGGAAGATGAAAGAGTGGTGGAAAAAACTAATAAAAATTGCAAACAAGATATAGTCAAATGGCAAAAGGAATGCACTGTAATAAAAAAGAAAGTTTAGAATCCAAAATGCAATCCTGGTAGAGAACTGATGGAAATAAGGTTTACAAAATAACGACTACACTGAATAACAAAATAACATGAAGAACTAATCACCCCATCAAAAAAGGAAGCAAAGATGTCAGCTATCTAAGACAGATTGCTAAAACTTTCAATAACTTCGATCTTGAACGGTACTTACTCAGTAAAGAGCAAAAGAGGTAGCTAAAGAAATGCCTAAAACACGAAAGAAATACTAAATCAAGGATAGGGAACTTAGACAAACCTTTTACAGACGATTTCTCAATGGAGGAATTGAATAAGGCTATCAAAGACACTCAAAACGGTAAACAACCAGGACCAGATAATACGTATATTTCCAGGATTCATGACACATTTGGGGCAATCTGCAAGAAATTTCCTTTTAATGATTTACAATAAGTTCTGGAATGCAAAACTCAATCTCCCAGCAAACTGGCTGAAGGCAAAGATCATTTTGAGTCTAAAGCCAGGAAAACCACCTGCAGATATAGAATCGTACAGACCAATCTTCCTAGCATCCATTATAGTCAAGACGTTTGAAAGAATGATAACTGCAAGACTAAGGTTTTACCTGGAGTCAGACGAGATTCTGGCAGAAGAACAGACTGGTTTCAGAAAAGACATGAAACTACTAATTCAATTTTGAAGATGGTTCACAAAATTAAAACCGGTTTCAATTCTGGGAGAAACTCTTTGACTGTCTATGTTAATTTCCAGAAAGCTTACAACACAATACGGAGAAGGAAGCTCCTAAACAAACTTCACAGTAATATTATTATGCAATTGGTTATGCAATTGGTGGGAAAATGTATAACTGGTACAAAAAGTTTTTATCCCAAAGAAGGGCAAAGAGCAGGTGGTACAAGTAGGAATCAAATTATAAACGAAGTAAATTAGGTCTACCTCAAGGAGCAGTTAGAGCAGCTGCACCCTCTTTAACATTTATACAAATGATTTGGTAAGCAAGTTAAAAAGCATTAAAGGTATTAATGTCTGTATGTTCGCAGACGATGTTGTTATTTGGACAGAAGCAGAAAACTCCAGAAAATACGAAGACTAAAGGAAAAAACTTGAAATTATAGTGAATAATGCACTTGAAGTCCTGCAGACCTGATCTAAAGAGAACAATATAATTATAAATAAAAACAAAACAGTTTACCAATTCTCTCTGAGACACGTGAATACAGACTTTGAATTAATAATAGACAACGCTACTTTTCAAAAAGCTTTAGCGCCACATATCTAGGTGTAGTGCTGGACAACAAATTAAACTTAACTAATCATGTGAATACTGTTATAGAAAAAGTAGAGAAAAAATTCTCAATTTTGAAAAGACTAGCCGGTACCAAATGAAACTCACGGACTACCCTAAATAAAACTTACAACACTTATATTAGACCTATTTTCAAATATGGAAGTGAAATGTTAATCTCTAATACACAAGAGAAGACTGATTCTTTGGAAAGAGCACAAAGTAAAGCTCTTCGAATTATCACAGGAGCAGTGAATACTACCCCGATTACAGCTAGGCAAAACTATACTTCCAACCCACCAATTGCTACTGAAATCAAGAAATGGAAAGTTTTGTCTAAAACCCCGTAAAGAGGCTATGGCAAACTTCAGACTGCAAACAGGTCACGATTGCATGGCACATCGTCTTAATAAAATTGGTTTCCTTCCATCTAGTATATGCCAAATTAGCAATTCGGGCATCATGAATGCAGCCTCTTCTTATGTGCCCAGAACTATATAAAGAGTCTCAGAAACGTGGTGAGATAAAGTAAACTATATTGGAATGCCCAGAGCTTTTATGAATTCCTTGTACAGACTACATCTCTTATATTCCTTTCCTTGTTTAATTTTTTAACTTTTTCCTTTTGCTCCCGTGTTCATTTTTTCTGATTCTTACGTTGTAAATGTTTGTTCTTTATTATTATTTATCATTGTTCATATGTGATACTTGAGCTCTTTTACATATTTGGATTGTTACTCCTAATAAAGCCATATGTAACAACATAGATATCATTCAGTTATTCAATAATATTCAATTAACTTTTTGGGTCAATTATAAAGTAAGAACTGCTTTACGCATCGCGGACGGGTTGGTCATCAGGGGCTGGATGCCACACCAAAACTGTCCAAGCCGAAACCATGTAATTATCGCAGTTTTAAGCCTCGACCAGCTATAAAATTGTGTCGTTTGTTTCCAAGCTCATATTTTTATTATGTATATTGATTATCAATATTCCTGAATATTAAATAAATTCGGTTATTCGATTAAAAAAACGAGTATATCCTCCGCTAAATCAATGCAGTTTATATAGATCTTATGAATGAAGGAAATGTTTGCAAGCTCGGCCGATTGAATAAACTTCGAAAGAACATACGCATAACGAAGTTGAAACTGGTTATCGAACACGCATCACCACTGAAATTCGCATTCGGAGAAATTGATACTTTGTTATTGATGAACTTTAAAGCTTTTTCTAAGTTTCTCTTTGTTGCCTGCAAAATTATCTAAAAAATCCTTGATACATGGGAATTTTGGAAAACCTGGGTGGCCGTAAAGATAGTCATAAACCTGTAATGATATTTCCGTTTGAACTGCACCATGGTAAAGAAGCTTGAGTAATTCAACAAATAATTCATTTGACAGTGATCAAATATAATTCTCAGGTTCTCAGCATGTAATTAAAATTCAAATAAAGATTTTAACCTTTTTACATTTCAAGCCACTCTTACAAACTGAGGAACATTTTATATTGTAGTCAATCAGAAAGAGTTTTGAATTCGCGTCAGGCTTATTCAAAAAAAAAAAAAAAAAAAAAAAAAAAAAAAAACTAGATGATAAATTTTATAAGAAGGAGACTTTCATTAATATTGTGAATGGTTACAGCATCTCCTGTCTTTGCGGAATCTTGAGAAAAGCGATTAAATTTATTTGATTTTAAAAAAAGTGTTATATCGAGAAATAATCCAATAGTTTCTTTCGCAACGAAACGTTTCGGAGATTAAAAGTGATCTACATAATTATATGCTGCATGTTTTCTTTGCATATGACAGCACATTGAATACATTCCCACAGTCGTAAATATGCGGGCGTTTGAAATATATATTAATTGGAATTAGAAATTCATCTCTGTTTTGTAAATGTAAATTTTAGACAAGCTCCTGGAATAACAGGTTTTGTTATAAATGTACGTCATCAAGATTACATATGGTACAATGCGGAAACATAATATATTATACAATGTGGAATTTAAAATTTAGGAATAACCAAAAGGATTAGAAAATTAATGAAGCTCTAATTAAATAACCAATAAGATTAGCAACTTAATGAACTTAAATATACTAAAAGGATTAGCAACCTAATGAAGCTCTAACTAAATAACTAACTAAAATTTCAGTATTAAATTGCCCTTCTCAAATATCAGCCAATCTTGGTTTAGCACACTCACCCATTGCTCTTAATATTTGTCAAGACAAATGATTCTCTAATTCAGAGATTTTACTTGATGGGTATTGATGTCAGAGATATAAAATGAGATTTATGTTATATAATTTAATACTCATGCTTTTCATTTCTTTCAGCAGTATTCAACAAAACCTATTCGTTTATAATTAGAAAACTCTCAGTCTTATACATCTGCGTTTATTTCCGAGAGATATCTGCTTAAGTGAGAATGCGTTAAGGGACGTAATTGATCAAAGTACTCAATCCTTATAAGTTTCTACTATTTTTTAATATATATTCAAGGAGATAAATTTTATTTCCTCAAGCAGAAACCCAGAAATGCATAAAATGCTTCATATGAGATTTCAAATCTTTTTAGGCGAATCTACTTGTCTTTAAAGCTTAATTTCAGCATCATAACCAATGAAAAAGGACACCATACTTAGAAGCCACTGTTAGATTGTTCTTAACAAATACGGCAGCGACTAACTCAGATAACTAATAAACTAAATAAAAATATTCCCTCAAGTAAACTGATAAGCGATATTTAGGTCTATAAAATAAATAAAACATAAAAGTTTTAATTCTGAGGTTAAAATCTGATATGTGAAAGCAGACACTTTCATTACTTCTTACCAACACACGTTCCTCCAGGTACTAAAGCATAACCCGATGGACAAGAGCAAGTATAACTTCCTATTGTGTTCATGCAAGTTCCAGCTCCACAGATGTCAGACCATATAGAACACTCATCAGAATCTAAGGAAAAGAAATACCTTATTCATCAATTAACACCATTCATGGTTATTATCATTGCATACAAATTTCATGATATCCAAATAATAAGAAGAAATTCTTTTGAATTTTAACTTTTTAACATCAGAACAATGGAAAAATACAACGTAGGGCAGAATTAGCAAATATTGTTGGGCTACACTTAGGTTTTAATAAGTAAGCGGAAAGACGTCCCGTTTGTTCATCAATGATGAGTTAATTAATTTCAGTGATGAAGTTTATCTAAGTAGATACACGAATATAATCTAGGCAGGTTAACAAATAGTATCGGAACTATATTAAACTTCATTACTGAACTAAGAACTGACAAATTAATGTTTACAAATAACAGATTGCATCAGTTTTTAAAATTCGTTTTTTTTAATCGTCCGAATAGAAAATAATTCATATTAGTATACAGAAAATGATATAGAAGTTTACCGACTACTAAATGACTTATCACCACGTAGACTAATTCGCTATAAGCATCTTTCATAGCAAGATTCTTTTTACGCTGTTGAAATACAATTTAATTATTTTTCTCTTAATCAGATGTGCTCCCGTTTGACTACTACAGCTTATTATTTAAATGAAATGGTTAGAAACTGTCGAATGCTTACCAACGCAATTTCTGTGGGTATCATCTAATGTATAGCCATCGGGACACATGCACATGAAACTTCCAAATGTATTCGAGCATCTTCCGCCTTTGCAGATACCATTAAGCTCTTGGCATTCATCAATGTCTGAAAAATGAAAGAGCACAAAAAAAAGTTTGACAAGGAAATTCATATGTTGCAAATGGTATTTAAAAGTTTGCTACAAAATTAGAAAAAGCCAGAATTTTAAGCTGGTATGAACTATTTGAGATTTAATAAGCTTTTTTAAAAATAGCGGCTGTTTAAAAATAGAGGCGATAGGTAAGCATTAAACGTATTTGATCTGATCGTAAAAATCAAAACACAATATAGTTTTTATGCAGAATCTAGGCCCACCAGCGGCCGAGCGGTAAAGACGCTGAACACTGGTAGTTCGGTCCGAGGTTCGAATCCCGCGAACGGGCAGGCTGCATGGGCGTTTTCGTGGTTTTCCCCATGTGTAACGTGTATACGAGCCAGTTTCCCTTAGAAAGTCCTCCACGAAAGGCATCCCTCCCCTTAGGCAGATAGCCCTAGTGTGCTTTGCCATAATTAAATACACCACCTTATGCAGAATCTAAGCAAATTTATTTATTAATTCTATAAAATGAGTTTTCAATCATATTTTAGCAGTTCTGAGGCATTGTTTTAAAGTTATGTTTCATATTTTAATTTAAAAAAACTAATGTAGTACTTATTCTAGATTATTTAAATTTTAATACAGTAGAATCTCGCAAACTCCCAGACATTTGTAGCACAATATTGGACACGGAAAAGTACAGAATACAATTAAATTAATGTTGATATTTTTTTTATTTCAAGTCCTAGCACAATAGGAGACAATAAAATTTTTGGTCCTTTCTCTTGTAAACTGGCCCTGAAATGTGTGTTCCCTGTTCCCCTTTCTGCCTGAACCACAAATAAATATACTTTTTCTTTGCTTTAAACTATTCGTACATGTTCTTTTCACACAACAAGACTCGATTTCGGACCTTTTTCCACCGTACCAAAATAGTCTGTCCAACATCTAAATCCATGGTAATTTTTTTTACACTTTCTCCTTTGTCCAGTCGCTTTAAGGCATCTAGTTTCATTTCCATTGTCACGTTAGTTTGTTTTCTTTTCTTTTCAAACGGCATTTTCTCTTCACATAATATCAAAAGTTCTCAAAAGTATGTTAACACGTTTACGCCTGGATGTGAACTAAGCAGCGATACTGACAATGAACTGGTGTGAGTTTAGTTTACAATGTATCTTGAAATTTGTTAGGCAGTTCCAATAACTAATGGCACAATGCGAAAAGGTAAAAATTGCGGAAAAGAACACTCAAACCTTTGAACAGAACAGGAAAAGACATACGCATAAATAATAACTATATGTACCGTATGTAATATTTGCTCTGTTTGGAATAGACATATCATAAAAAAATTCCAAAAACTTGTCGAGTTATACGGAATACCTAGCTATCGGGACTCTACTGTATAATGTATTCCAAATTTAAGTAAAATTTCAAATAGATCTTATTACTCTATAAAAAAGTATGTCGGTTTCGCACAAATTAATAGGACCAGCAAGCAATTATTCTGTAACCAAAATACATATCATATAATTATAACATACAACTAATGGAGAAATGTTTAAAAAATATCATTATAAAAATACATGAATCAAATATAATATTATCATACATATATTAATATAAATTATTTGGTAGTTGAATTTGCATTTGCTTTAAATCGCTCAGCTTGTCAAGAGATAAAAGCTTAAATTTAAAAAATAAATTAAAAAAAATTATGATACATGGAACGTCAGTATTTCTCAGCACTGAAAAATTCCCATGTTCCTTGCATGTTAAATGAAAGATCTAATGCCATACATGAAATGCCATTATTTCTGAGAAAGAACAGGTTAAACCGCGTGGATTATTATAAATTTGCATCTAATTAGTATCATAAGAGAAAAGTGTGTACAAAATCAAGCTTGAACTATAATTAATAGTTTAAAAAATAAATTTTCCTACGTTTCTAAGGTACAGATTCAGTAAACCTGGTTACAAATATAACTGTCTTTTTATATTTCCTTTTTAGAAGTGTAATAAACCTTTGCGTGTACTATATATACAATTTTGCTTTTTTAGACATAATCTGGTTTCACGCCGTTACTAAGGTTACTTACTTGTTTAGCCTAGTCACAGAGTTAATTTAATTAATTAGTCACAGAGTTAATTAATGTATTCTTTCCAGTTTTTGCATCATGTTACATAACCTTACGTGAGGTTACCGCCACATTAAACAATTATACAGACAGGTGAATTTCTGATTCTGAGAGCTGTTATTTATTTTACGGCAGAAGACAGATAATTATGTAGATTGGTAAATAACCAATTTTGACGGCTATCGCCATTTTTTGTGGACCATCTCATTCATCAGGTCGGATACAGTCTTATCCACTCGGTCACACATTACACTGCATATCAGCGTAACAAATCCAGAGATTTAGGTACACACTTCTTAACACCATTTATTTTATTTTACTTTTAATAGTTTGTTTCTTTAATGTAGTTTACATCAACAGATAATTTTTATAAACATTTACAGCAACCTTCAAGTTAAAAACACGATTACAAAATCATTCTTGTGTAGAAACGAGTTTATACAGGTTTCGTCTCTTTAAATAAATAGATAAATTTTGACATTTTTTTTCTTTTTTTCTACAGATAAATTTTGCTTTAGCATACTCTTCGCTTCAAAAGAGTCGCCAAAGCCAGTACGATCATCTACTAGATATAATTCGGTATTACAGAAATATAATTTAATAAAAGATTATTTGATATAGCATTGAAACAAGTGCTAAATTTATCACATTAAAGCTGAAGCTTTTTAAAACACTTAACTATTCCTTAATTAAAAGTATAACTCTTACCTCCTATTTTAACGGTGATTTTATTAGGGCTATATCCTCTTCCTCCAGGACACAGATTTTGATATTCCGCTGTAAAATAATATATTTTAAAACTATATCACGTATAAACAAATTCGTGTATAATTTCTGTAATTTATCATGTATCATTTATCATGTAAGTATCATTGAAAGTCAAAAATAAATTAGCAGCGATTGCTTCAATACATCGTTTGCATCTCGAAGTAAAAATTAATAAATTATTTGTTTGAGTTAACACCATCAGGCTTATTATTAAGTGTACTTTGATAGTTATTTAACATTATAATAAGATGCTCAGAAACAAATACTACTTTGAATTTACTGAAATTTCAGATGCAAATGGAAAAGCTAACATTCCTGTTAGCAAAGTTAAAGAAAAGTGAAAAAATTCTCACTTGAATTAAAAACTGGACAAACTTCACAAGTGGGACCCCATCCTTTACCAACAGAGCAACAACAAGTAGCTTTCGTAAGCCTTTCTCCAATTTCTGTGCTGCAGATCCCGCGACCATGGAAAACACGGGTTACATCGAGAAAACATTGTCCTTCCCTGATATCTTATAAATAATAAAAATAATAATAAACAAAAGTATATTTATTTACATATGTAACTTAAAATACATGCAAAATGGAGAATAATTAATTCTACAGCACTTACCCACACAATCTGCGACAGTTGGAGATAGTGTATAATTTGGGGGACACTCGCAAGTGAAGGACCCAGGAGTGTTAACACATGTTCCATACTGACAAATCTGAGGATTTTCGCATTCATTGGTATCTATAGCAGAAAATAACTTTAGTGTGAAACAATCTCATAATTCCAGAATATAATCATTTAATTAACATTCCATGAAACCAACCTGTACAGTTCCCTCCGGTAGAGTCTAGTTCAAAACCAGGATCACAGATGCATCGAAACATTCCGAAAATGTTTTCGCATCTTCCAAAAGCACAATAGTTCTGAAACATGGCGCATTCATCGACGTCTGAAAAAAATAACAAGTTTCAGAAATCAAAATGATACTGAAAGATTTTTTAAAGTTTTAGGTTTTTAATTTTTTTTCTTAGCTAAACTAGCGTTTCTCAAACTATAGTCCTAGAAGTCTGCCCTTGTGGGCCTCTTACATTTCCAAAAAAGACCAAAAATAAAATTCAAATTAGCTGCGTATAACCCATTACAGCTGAAAATCTCAGAATTTGTTTGGAAACTACACATAGCAATCATCTATAATTTTTCTCCCAAGACTGACATTTTATGAAATTTATTACAGGTTACCTTATGGACTTTCCTCTATATTTAGCAACAAAAGATATATTTAAAGCACTATGATTGTAGTGCTTCTTATCTGCTTAATCCAAACATAGTATAGCTATGAGAGAATTGGCAGGTTCATCTATATAATTAATATGGGTGTTTACATTTATTTAATTTTTAGTTAAAAAGGTAAAGATTATCCATTTCCACGTATTTCTTGTTTCCTTCTTGAGTAAGTGGAATCTAAAGAATAAGAATACAGGGACTATCAGTTGTTTTTAAGATTCACAATATTGAAGAAAATTCAAGAATTCTAGTTTCAAAATAATGAAATCATGCGTTACTAAAGGAAAAGTGCTGAGGAAATGCATCATTAAAAAGTACAAACCGATAGTGAAGTTTGTAAAGACATTAGATTAGTTTGATGCTGGAGACGTGAAAATGAGCAATGCACTTGCGAGCACTCGAATCTGGACCTTTCGAATACGCGCAATGAAGGTGGTGCACATGTGAAGTGCAGTGACGCGTAGTGAAGGTGGCTGCACGAGTGTGTTACCGTTACACTCCGAAGGCATGCAGAAGAAAGGGAGAAAATACCTTATATGATCTCTTTTTTTAAAGGGCAACTGCGGTTAGGGGACTCATTCGCCAAATCCTGGTGGTGAAGAATTATCATTCACCACCTTTTAGTTCGGGTGCCACTGTAAAGTCATTAGGTTATTTTGAAGCAGGAAACATAAAAAATATGCGGTGCCCTCGCCGGGACTCGAACACTGGACCTTCGAGTACGCGTCAAGTATGCTTCTAATTACACGAAGGGATGTGGAAAGAAGGTAGAAAATACCTTATATGCTGCCCCTTTTAAAGCGCAACTGGGGTTAAGGGACCTAGTCGCCCAAGTCTGGTGTTAACGAATTATCATCCGACGCCTTTTTAGTTTGGGCGCCACTTGTAGTTATTAAGTTATTTTGAAGCAGAAAACGTGAAACATGTGCTGTCCCTCGCAGCAACTCGAACCCTGGACCTCTCGAATATGCGTCGAGTATGCTTACAATTACATCACGAGAGCATGCGGAAAGAAGTGAGAAAATACCTTATAAACTAATTACTATACTAGTTCAAACACTTCTAACTAGTGATAGTAAAACGGATATACTGCCGGGTGGCACTGTCTCTACAAGCGCGCTACTTAGTATTTATTACAGACAACAAACAGCAAGAGTTTGAACATTGCAGACAACATAATAAATATATTATTCCCAGATTTTAATTGTCGCTTAGCTCATATTTTCCTGCTTAGAAAATGCTTCTTGTGAGATAAATTTGCATCTTCTAAAGAGATTTGAATTGAAATCAAAGGAAGGTTATCGAAAGCTGATTGTTAAACTAAAGCCTTATAAAGTGACCAAGAAAGTTTTAAATGTTACGGGATAAATAACTGATGCAGTTATGATACAAATATAATTATCCTGGATTTCAAATAAACAATTACTATAATTTAAAATGTAAGAATATAAAACGATAACATGCACTTTGAGTTACAACAGACAAGCACAGAGGCTTAGTAATTAATATACAAAAAATAATATAATTGTATAATTTAATTGCAGGGGAAAATAAAGAAGAAAAGATTTCACGAAAACATTTCTTTGCGTATATCGCCCAGTTGCACTTACTAGAAGTACATAAAATAGAATTCAAAAGTTCAAAGCCTGGGTTCACAGGTCTTAAGTTATTAAGATTCATAATGCTGAAACATATCTAGGTTAATTACAAGTTCCTTTTGCAACAATAATGTTTGCTAGAATTTGTAGAGATCTTCAAAATGCATATGAAGACCATCCTTTGCGATGCACTTTAGTTCAACTAATGCGGCCTTTTTTAATCTTTTCTAGCTGGAACTGACGACCTTTCAGTAGACATGCCATCTCAAAAACATATAAAAAATCTCACTATGGGAATTTTAGTGAAAATGTGGTGTGCAAGAAGACAATAGATTCAATCCTAGCCAGAAGTTCGGAAAGTACAACGAATTTGTAAAGGGACTAGACGTCATGACTAGACTATGACGTTGATTTTTACGTTTTAAGAAGACTACTGATCTCTCTTTCCTTAGCTCACGTCCTTAGCACACATAAATATTCGTCCAGAATTGAAGGTAAAACAAAGTCAGACGCGAATCAGTTAAATATACGTAAATCTTAACTACAATTCTTGCTACTTAGAGCAAGGAATCCAATTTACTTGTGGTTATCATATGTAGTTTCCGCGCTAGAATGGTTAATGGAAAAATTAATGGAAAGAATGGTTAATGGAGTGCTATGAGTTTCTCGTCGGGATGACATGTGCCCGTTTGGGTGCTAGGCGAAAACTTTCTTTGGTTCATTTGGAGTTTTAATCAACATGTCTAAAGTATCTTCTAAGGTTGTTATTTAAATTAACCAGTTTTTATGATTTCGGTCTTTACTATAACTTCTCCTTTCCATATTCTTCACCAAAATCTAAATGAGGTAGCCAGTATTTAAGGTGAGGTTTTCCAGGCTTCTCCTGCACGCTACGCATCAATTTTCTGCCAGCTGTGATAGTTGTAATTATTAGACTTTGCGATCTGTCGCTGCAGATAATTTGGTTTTGACGTTCCCGTATAGTTACTGAGCCAGCTTCTAATAAATATTTAATTGTGTAGCCTTTTGTAATATTTTTAGTGTGAATTAAAGTATTATTGAATGTAATATCAAATGAATTACTTATTTAGCAGACCGCGTTGTGGATGCAATAACCTATAGATACATTCAAATGTGTAAATAAAAATGTGTGATCTGTGAAAAGAAATATGAGATCAAAGTGAAATTACCCCAAAGGATGATAATTCAAGTATCACAAAATTAATTTTTATTTTTCTAACATCACCATTTCTGAATAAGCATTAAAGCTAAAATGAGAAAATATTAGCCAGACAGACGAACGTTGGTCTTACATGTAACACGTGTAATGCACATTACTGAAATAACGCTAAACTCAAAGTTAAAGTCAATCTTCTTCCATCTGTACAAATCAAAGTTCTGGGGAAACGATGGAAATTTAATGGCAGTAAATAAGCATACTTGGTGAACAATAGTTTTTTCTATTTTTTTTTATATCGGGAAAGAGGAGACACGAAGACTTCTCAAAAAGATAAATTGGTTGAACAAAAATTATTAGCCGCAACCAAATATTTATAGGTTCCTATGGACATTTGGCCAAACGTAAACAGAACTTAAACAGAACTTTAATTAACTTAAACGTAACTCACTCGCTGCTCAACAAAAGACATATTTCAAATATGACTAACTTGGCCAATTAACATGATTGTACAAAATGCTGTCTCAGAATAAGATGAATTTAGACTAACAACGGTGCTACTTCTTTTGCATCCATTTGTCAAGCTTCTGGTTCTTCGTCTCAAATTAGGAGTCTTGTAAAAACTATTAGAGATTGCAGAATATTTTATAAATTTTATTTCTTGTGAGGAGCCATAAAACTAAAAGTTTACTTCATGAAAGGTGAATATTGTACTCTTTCTGGCGTTTGTATATTTTAAAATTTCTCAAGATTATGTTCTAATAATTTAGAAACGTTTTAACTTAATTTATTTTGAAAAGGTATTTCTTCGTTTTTAATGAATCCTGAAGTCTTTTTAATAACATGAAGCATATTGTTATTATTCAAACAACTTTAAGTCCACCTTTTTAATATTCATTAGACAAAATTATAATTACTTATGACAAAAATCAGTTTGTAGTAACAGTTTAATAAAATAAAAACTCACTGTGTTGAATTATGCCGAAATTAAATAAAATACATACCGTTAAAATTTTATTTACTTACGATTTATTTTCATTTATTTTATTCACATAATATTTTAAAATTTATTATTAGGTATTCAAGATATTCTCTTAGTAATTTGCATCAACTAATTCCTTTCCAAATATAAATTTTCCATGAAAATGTTGTCTAATTATTTATGCTGTATTTATTTTTTATTGCAGTTTTTTTTTATAATTGATTTAACTTACCCACGCATGTTGTTGCACTGTTGTCTGGGCCAAAACCCAAATCACACTCGCATTTGTACCCTCCAGGGTAATTCAGACATTGGCCGTTTTCACATAGAGTTGGGTTCAAACTGCATTCATCCATATCTGAAACGAGCATAAAAATGAGACAGAGTACACAGTGGAAAAACCTAAACAGTAAAATATACATTAAACAGAATTAGATCATAAATGTTACGATTTTAATATTAACACATTATTTGGACTGGTCAAAAATATGGAAAACCTGTGCGCAAAATTCCAAACGTTTTCTGCTTGAAAATGTAGGCAATAAGAAATCTCTAAAATCAACAGATAGCCATAGTTGCTTCTGGAGGTAATTTCATACAGTTGCGAGCTTCCAGACTCCGAAGAGTATAAATTTTGGAGCCATAAAGAGAGCACTTTTGTGACCAAAGAATCAAATTTATTTGGTTCATCACTAAGTGCTGCACTGTGATTATGATCTCTCCTGGTCCTCAGAAAAACATCATCCGATAAACATCAATACGGTAGAAAATATTTGTTCAATGACACAGAAAGAAGCATATCGTAGAGGATTTTCCACAAATAAGCAGGCAACAAATGCACACACAACTGAATAGCAGGCTTTCAAACACAGTCAGAATGAAACCAATGGGAAAGTAACTCCAAAACCAAAGCAATCGTCAGAGATAATAGTAGCATAACATCATATAATGCAGACTGTCAATCGCGGATTGCTTACTAGTCTGATGGGTCAAGCTTTATACTGTTTTCGACCTGTAAAGACGTTAATGTCTGAAGAATTCGGATTACCTGAGGAGGTTCAGTCTTGACGTGAGCACCTATATCATAGTATTCTGCTCGCTTCATTGTTAACTTGCAAAATCATATCGCTACCAAGATCTATGCTAAGATTTTGATAGACTAAGACTACTTTATTCTGCAAATATTATTTTTAGTAGGAAATGCCTCTAGTAAAGGAATTGGTACAATTAATGTATTTTATATCATTATACTATGTCATTCTGAGTATACAGATGACAGTTTTGCCATCTTTCATGACCTCCTGAAACTCCAGACCAGAATATACATAATTATGCGATAATTATAGAAAGTTCACTATTCGCCTCTGACATCTTTAAAAGAACTTGTATGGTATATTTTAATTTTATAACAGTTATTTTAATTTATTGCATCTTTCCTATCTCATCTAGTTTCAACTTACAATTCCCTACCAGAAAGAGTTTTTAGAATCGCCTTGAATGCAAATGAGAAGTAGAATAGTATTTAAGTCAAGTTCCACCGGTGTTGCCAGAGAGAATTAGGATTCCTGAACAACGCGCGTTTACCTTTGCACAACACTCTCTAAGTTTTTATTACGCTCGGCCGTATTACTTGCCTTTTGATAGCTTCGCTGACTAATTTAATATTATGAGCCAACTAGTTAAGAATTGTGCTAGCTTCGGCTAAATCCCTTTAGATACTCATTAGTTAGTTATTATTTCTTACACTTTAAGCCCAAGTGGAGGCTTTACTGTACGCCCTGAGAAAGGAACCGACTGTTAATTTTTTGTTTATTTGGAGTGAATAAAAGGTAATTAACCCTTGAGTTTACATTTCTGTTTTTGGAATTTCTTCTCAGCAATTATTCGCTTAGTAGTTCACTAGGTTTCTCGACACTTACAGAACATAAAAGTGAGGAACTCTATAAACTTAAGCAAGGCCATACAAAAGTTTTGCAAGAAAACCGGAATAACATTTCATTATCTACCCTTCAAGACTTACATTTTCTCATTACCAGTTAAACGTGTTCAAACAACAGAAAACACACGTTTTGAATAAAAGAATTCAAAACAAGTTTTGAATGAAAATGTTAATCTATTTTAACGAATGAATTAATTATTTGGCCAAATGTGTCCATATATTTTTCTAACTTTTCATCTTTTCATTTTGTTTTGAAGGTTAAGAGAATTCAGGGAAAATTAAGCTATGAACATTGCTTGTTTGATAAAATAATGCGCATTTGATAAAATGATAGTGTACATTAATTACTACTATGCTTTTAATATCTTATACTATCTACTGGCATAAATGTTTTTTTCTTGTAAGAATGATTTACGAAAGAACATTCAAAGTCCGAAATGTAGCTAGTTTATTTCTCAGTTTGTTTTGGCAAAAACATCTTCTGTAATATGTCACCTTTCAGATCCGAAAGTACAAGACAACTCAAATCTTCATAATCACTTTCCGCATAAGCTTTGAATAAAGTAACAACTAGTTTGTCTTTAAAATCGGATTAGTGCTCTATTGAAAATCAGATTAGTACAGAAAGAAAAGGGGATCTCGATTTTCTTGATGAATATGAGCTTTGTTCTCACAGGATGGCTTAATAAATGTCTGTTTAGGAAGCATCTGAAATAAAATGCATGCTAGAAATAAATATAATATTCTGGCAGACGCAAAAACGTATCGTTAGCTTTTTATCCAGTTATGATCCAATTTCATATAAGAGACTAAATCTGCAGCAATATGAAAATTTAATAACATTACAGCTTGGCTCAATGAAATTTCTTAAGAATTTTGTCTCACTTCATTATGACGGCATATAAAATTTTAAAGTTTTCGCGCAACTTTTCACTAACAAATTCTAAAACTTGGTCATTACAAAAAACTGGAAATATCTTTTAGTGGTTATAGTGGTTAAGCATTATTAGTGCATATTAAATACACTGGTTTGCAAATTAAATAATTTTTTTTCATGCTTCAGAGAAGCTTAATTTTTATTATTGAACTAAAAGACAGAAATACCTCGACAAGTGAATCCATCTCCTGAATATCCTTCATCGCATGAACACATAAAAGATCCAATGGTGTTGATGCACGCAGCATCAGGATGGCAACCGCCATTGTCCCTCAAGCATTCATTGACATCTAAGAAGAAGTTGATAAGATTAGGATTTTATTAGTCTATTTAGAAAAGATTAACAACAATAGTTGGGCATCATTGCTTACCTCTGCAAACAAAGCCATCTCCTTTGAATCCTTCCAGACAATTGCACTGATAAGATCCAAGCGTATTGATGCAATCAGCATGTTCATCACAGTCGCTTAGTCCTGTTTCACATTCATTATCATCTAGAAAATAATTCAGAAGGTAAGCAAAGGACAAAAGAGTGAAACTGAACTATTCTATATGTAACTTAATTTTTATGTTTGACTACCTATTATACTTACTGCATGGACAAGCAAATATAATATAAGTAGAGGGATAAATTCTGAATACACAATCCCCATCCTGCTAAAACACAAACAATCTTCGCTACGAATGAAATTCATTGCCACAACCCGACATGAAAACTTACAATATAAAAAATAAAATAAAAAAAAATTCAGACTAAGTAGCAGAAGATGTTAAACATATTTTAGTTAACTGCCTTCCAAGCTGCATTTCAGTCATAACGGAAGGGATGGAATGAGTGCATAAATGAGGTAAGGGCAGTATTTTGAAGGGGGGTGTAGGCTAGAGTGAATTCAAATAAGTTTTTAAAATTTGGTCTAGTTTGTTCGGTTTCTGTGTAATCAGCGCAGTGCAACTCGATATCATCTAAACATTTATGGTCGGAACTTCCATAAGCGAAGATTCAAATGAGCAAGACTTTTTCCCTTTATTAGACAATATCTGCTAAATGGGACTGTTTTGAGGTATCTAAGGATTCAGGATTAATGAGTTAACGGGGATTGCCCACTAAAAATAATGTCCATTAACGGAAGCTTCATAGAACTACAGAAAGGGCTAATGTCCCTGAAGTTGTGTCATTATATAGTTTCGTATCGTAAGTTTCCTTGGGAGCTATTATTTATAGCCTGTACAAAAAAATAAGCATAGCCCTAACTATACTTCCCAAGAATTGCACAATTACAAGTAAGTAGTAACTGTAAGAAACTAAATAAATGAATAAGTAAAATTAGGGATAAACATAAAACTTTCGAAGTGCTTTTCTTATCCATATATTCTAAAATGCATGCTAGAAATAAATATAATATTATGGCACACGCAAAACCATATCGTTAGCTTTTTATCCAGTTATGATCCAATTTCATATAAAAGACTAAATCTGCAGCAATATGAAAATTTAATAACATTACAGCTTGGCTCAATGAAATTTCTTAAGAATTTTGTCTCACTTCATTATGACGGCATATAAAATTTTAAAGTTTTCATAGTGTATATCTTGTATACATATGATGTTGAAGGATATGTTTTATCTTTGTCTATTCATTGAGACACGCTGAATTTTACATTATATTGCTCATGAGAAAGCGTCCAGCTGGTAATAATTAGTATCCTTCCAAAACAGGAATATTAAAGAATTTCAAAGATTAGCACAAATAAAAATTTTCTTTATTGATAGAAAAGTTTTCATAGCACCGATTAAGAACAAACATTAATTTAAATATAGAAACATAATAATTATTATAAGAATGCATATTTTATAATTATCTCATTTTTAAAGATATTCTTTCGCTCTTTTCCTTGCAGCCTTTTACCCGTTTCGTATAATTTTTATTAATATTACTTTTTATAATGTTATTGTACAGATAAAAACATTCACCTTAGGTACAGTGTCTCACAAATAATCTAGGACAGTCTTATTTCCCAAAAATTATGTAAAGAATTTTAAATGTGTAATGTTAAAATTACAAAATAGAGTAAGCGTGTATCTAGAACTTTCTGGTTACTAAATAAAGTTTTCTCAAAATAAAATATCGAGCTTAAGATTTCTTTTTAGAGCAAGAAAATCAATCTCGGACTCTATTGAAATTGCAGACAAAATCATCTTAAACAGTTTATAGAGTTTGATGTTCTGTGGGAGCATAAGCTAGATCCAGACTATTAGCAGACATACAGCGAACTATTCCTGTGTCTGAAATTAACTACAAAGTCTTGCAAAGGTTTTAAATAACTTTTTTTTATTTAAACACACACTTTGAAAATCATTGCACGTTTCGTGCTAAAAGGATCGACCACCACCTGTGGCGATGAAACTAAAATAACATCAAATTTAAATTAAAATGTAGGCTAGTAGTCAAAGACTACACACTTAAATCGAAGTTGGCTCAAAACTCTAACAGGAATAACAATTTAAATGTTGATAGAAAATAACGCAAAGCCGAATAATTACAACCTTCACAGGGACGACAAACTAAAGTAACTTGGCCTCCAGAGCCAGAAACACGCTCTGTCTTCCAATCCGAAGACCTGAGCTTAAATACTCTCTAATTCATTTACATTTGTGGTGAGGAAACGGAAAGGAAAAGTTATGGTAAGAGCTAAAATGTAAAATATTATTAACCTTATAACGTTTCAATAAATAAATTTATGATATTATTTTGCCTAGAAAGAGCATTTAGAAAATCTTCTTCAGTAAGGTTTACTTAGAATTTGTATTGCATCAATCAAGAAAGGAAAAGTGATTAAAAATATGTAATCATTTATAAATTTGTCAACTAGAATTAGAGATGTGTATACTAGAAAAGTTGCCTAAAATGATGTTTTTGATATTTCAGATATTTAATCTTTAATCACATGATATCCCAGGCATGACAGAATTCGAAGATTTTGTAGACCATCGAAGGTGTATAACGAAATATTGCGCAGTATTGTCAAAAGTGTTAAAACAATCGAAAACTGGCTTGTCGTATGTTTTAAATACTATCTCCTAAATCCTTGAATATTTTGTTTTCATTTATAAAAAGCGTTTCGGAAAATCGATAGTTTGATATTTTTATTGAAAGCGTTTTCCAACTCAAATTTTTGAACTTAAAAGAAAAGCAGTTGTGACAAAAGGCAGGCTCTAGAAAATAGTAATTAGTTACTTTGTTACTTTTTACATAAAAGTAACAAAATGTCTAATAACAATTTTATAGAACAGTGGTAATCATTCTTTATAATTAATGATTACCACTGCAATAAAAATTAAAATATAAAATGCAGTTATTTATGATTCTAACCTGTAAGCAATGGTAATCATTAGCTTCATTATTAAACTTATATATATGGTGTCTATAACAATCGCTACGCGGTCTTTATTTTTGAAATTTTTATTAGCCGTAGATATACACTTTTAACTACGAAAATGCTTTTAAAAAGGAAAATATTCATATTATAGCATTTTCATACATAAAAAACAATTTTATAAAACGTAAGAAAGCTAACTTTTATATACTACAATTATACTTAAAAAAAAAAAAGCCTTCACAAAAGGTTTGACCTTCATATGATAAGAAATGGCATTTCTATACAGACTTTCGCAAAAAGCATTGCAAGTAGTAATATGCCAATATAATCTTTCCAATAAAGGAGATCTTATGCCATAAAGCAGATCTGATTCTCAGTATTTTGAAGAAATCGAGCTCAAGAAAATATTGGCGAGCTACGTGTAATATTATTTGCACGAATTAAAAATTCAAAACATTTATACGTTGATGAAAATTTTTACGTAAATATTATATCATGTCTATAAAGTAATAAAATCGCAGGGGAATATTAATAGCCTATTTTCAGCGTTTGAAAACATATTAATTATTTGTGACTAAATTCTATTGGCATACCATATGCAACATATTATTAATTAAAGAATGCTATGCGAAAGTAGATCACAAAAGAAAAATAATAAATGAAATTAAAGGTCAACTTCAGATTATTTATTTTTAATCGAACCCTCAAAGAAAATTGAAAATGAAGACAAAATTCCTAATTTTAAAGTTAAATATCTCGATCACTTTTTGTAGTGTGAAAGTCAAATCTTTGGTGTTTTATTTTTATAACGAGTATAAACTTTTACTGAAATTTCATTGTTAAATTTTGTAATTTTAACAAAATTATTTTTTTTTTAAATTTAAAATTGCCACAACCAAAAAAATATAGTTGTAACAAAAATATAAATATTTTTGTTCAACTAACATTTACGATAATAATGGCCACATGAAGAAGTATTGGCACATATAGAGGAGTACAGAGCAATTACAGAAGGTCAGGGAAAATGTTACTCTCGACTTCAGAAGAAAGAAAAAATTAAATCTAATTTTAGAGACCGTTGCATTTTTTTCTTAAAAAGTATCTGATTGCTAACTTTGTACAACGTTAAATATATTAAAGCACGGTTTTCAACCTTTTGACTAACACGTACCATTTAAACAAAAAATGAAAAATTTTAAACAAAAAATGAAAAACAAAAAATGAAACACCACCACTACATTTCACAATGATTATTTTTAACTTTCTCTATAGAAATATTAAAAAATATACACTGCCATTTGCACAATCTGTTGGCTGCGTATTTTAAATATGCACACATAAAAATATTAGATTAAAAACTGGTTACAATTTTAATTCTAAAAATTTAAGTTATAACATATAATTCTAAAATTTAGTGTGAAATTTGGGCCTGTTTAAGAGAGATAAATTTTTTTATGTCTTGGTCTTATTTCACTTAGTTTTAATCGTAAATTAGGATCCACTTTAACTTTTGTTCTGTATTTATTTTTCAAATATAACATGGAAGAAAATCCTTGCTCACATAAATACGTTGCACAAAAAGGCAATAAAATTTAATAACTTTATTTTACATTCTTAAAATTAATTAAATTCTTTTTTCGGTTAAATTCTTTTTTTCGGTTCAATCAAAAGTTAACAAATGTGTTATTTTTTAAAATTTTCAGTTAGAGTTCGATCACAGGAAATTTCTGTCAATTGTTCTTTATCTCCACGAGTTAAAATTGAAGGTACATTCGAAATAAATGGATTTCTAAGCCAATTTGTTTCATAATCCTCCGAAAAACATATGTTGAAATTATTTATAAATGAAAAACAATGATTATTAATGTCAGATGTTGATTCTCCTTTTATTTCTAAATTATTTTCGGTTGGAAAACTTTCTAAAAGTGGTAAAAAGCTTAAAATATTTTTATCCAATTCTTTAATTATTAGATCGAGTTTCTTATCATTGCATTTACTTTATCTCTAGTTAAGCAAATTATCATTTTGTCCCTGTAATCCTAAATTTAATTCACTTAACGTTCCAAAAATATCAGCTAAATATGCTAAACGCTTCAACCATAATTCACTAAATAAACAATTTTGAATCACAGAGGAAAATTTGAATTTCCGATCGAAATAAAAAAAATATTTTAAACTTTGTTCCAGAATAACCAACCACCTTACTTCGGAATGTAACAGAAGCGTTTCACGTTCTCTGCCCAGATCTTGGTATAAAATCGTAAATATTCTTGAATTTTAAGTTCGGCTTTGAAAAGAACTAAGAATTTTTACAGCTTGACTCAAAACGATTTTTAGGTTTTCGTCGATTGTTTTGGTTACTAGAGCTTCACGATGAATGGAACAGTGAGATATTTAGTTTCAGATGCGACTTTCTTTATTCGAGAAATAACACCGGAATAATTTCCTGTTAAAGCCCAAGCTCCGTCACTGCATACAACAATGCACTTATTCCAAGGAATATTATTCTCAGACATGAAATGTCAATTACTCTGAAAATTTCATTTGCAGTTGCTCTATCATGAAGAGATTAACAAAATAAATACTCTTAGGCAATTCCTTTATCTTCTTCTAAACGTATGTAAACTATTAATTGAAAAAAATTTCGTTATATCAATACTTTCATGCAATTGCAATGCTAAATACACACTGTGTTTTATATTTTCAGTAAGTGTCTTTTTTATAGAATTTACCATTTCATGAATTCGTCGACTTTCTGTATCATTTGATAACGGAATATGATTAAGCCACTTTTTCTTTGAATAATATTAAAGCGATATCTTTAGCTGCTGATAATATAAGGTTTTCTTCAATAGTGTGAGCCTGTCCAGCCTTGGCAATTCTTAGGCTTACTTGGTTACTAACTTCCAAAGCTTTTTTACTTGAAGTAACAAAACCTTTCATTACTTGTCTACCGTTTTTAAACTCCGATATTCCTCTTAAAATATTCTTCAGATTCATCCTTTAAATTGGCATGCTTACATTCCAAGATGTCTTTTAAGAAACGATGGTTTTACACTTTGATTGGATAATAGTTCACCTCAAGCAGGTTGAGGGTCCATTTTATCTCCATTCCAAGCAAACCCGAATGTTAAATAACTTTCATATTTTCTACAAACAAATTTTCTTTTCAATATTCTTAGTGATAGTAGATTGTCGTGGATACATCACCTGTGAATTATCACTTTTCCGCTTAGTCAATCCTACCCATTTTTCTATTTTGAAAATCTGAGGTTGTTTTACTTTTTTTCACAAATATTTAGATCTACAAATATTACGACTTCTTTAAAAACAGACGACGATATTCTCAAATAGCGTAGAAAACTACGAAATATAAAGCAACAAGAAGACAAAATACCTGCTGCTAGAGGCAGCAAATCAACGCAAACAATTATTCTAACTGAAATTAGAGCAATATGAGTCCGGAAGCTGTAGCGATATATATTGATCAACACTAAAATAATTAATGATATACTATTATATTTTTATAGGAACTTATTTGTATAACTCCTTTTGAAAACATCATTTACGATAAAATTTGTTACGTCTACGGCTAAAAATATATTTGTGAAAATAAAAACGGATTATTTTGCTAATGCCTATGAGCGGCTATTGACTTTGAACAGAGTTCAGATCGCACGAATTTACGAGTGTTAGAGAAAAAACTTAAACAGGAAATTCGGAGTATTTAATTTTTTAATTTAATGGTTAAAATGCTTTGTTTTTTTAAGAACCATCTATTTTTCTCTTGCGTACATCGGTTGAAAACCGCTGTATTAATGTATACCGGTAAATTCATATAAAAGCGATAGTATAAATATATCAAATAAGTGTGGCAAGACGGTTTTATTCATTAATCGTTTTACTCGAAATGGCAATGGCCTTGAAATTTTTTGTGCTATTTCAACAGTGTCTAAATTACCTCGGATAATAGAGGTTTACGTGCATTCCATTTAAGACAACGAAAGCTTCACTTGTATGGATTACTGTCATACACAAATGGAACAGGATTGGATTTTATAGTGCACAATCCACTGAACCTTGCCGTAATTTGAGCTGATTTATTGAGCAATGCTTCATTAATTCAGTTCCATTAAACAATCAGCATATTTATAAGGACCACTTACACAAGCAAATGAATTAAATGCTCCAACGGATGTCTCGATAAGCTAACGCTTAGAATTGCAAACTAATCCCAGAAATAGGGAAAGCGTAATGTATTACGAATTTTGTAATTACAGAGAAATAAGTTGAGCCAATAAATCGACAGGCGGGAAATTTTCACACAGATGATATAAAAGAGCAAATGTATAAATCATTTACCTGTACATCCTTGCTCATGATCTTTGACTGAATATCCGAAATCACAATGGCAGATGTACGATCCAAGGTTATTTACACAGCGACCGTTGAGGCAAACATTTGGATTTAAAGCACATTCGTCAATATCTGTTCAAAATATGAGCGACCAAAAAAATTCAAAACATAAAATTTGAATTTCAGTGTAAATTAAGAAATAATATAAACATTCATATTTTCGTAACAGTCATACATTATTATCAATAATAAAATATTGTGTTACGTATATTCCCACATCAAAATAAGAATAATAATTGTATCATATTATTAAAATTAAATAGAAATCATTAGTGTAAATATATATTTAACTACGAGTATTATTGTAACTTGCTAAACTTCTAGTTAATACCTTTTAGCCATTCATATTTTAAATCTGAGAAAAAATATTATGATACTAACTTTTCACACAGTCTTTATTTTACATAAGAAAAACATAATTATTTACATTACATGGTCATCGATAAACATTTTTATTTTACATTACATCGTCTTTATATGATTTACGCGTTATTAAAGTAAGTTACGTTATCAAAGCATTCATCAGCGTATAAATCGCGAAACCAACCATCGAAATAAACTGCAAGTTCTAAAAAGCGTTGCTATTCAACGAGTAATAATATCTGTAATTTGTCTCTGAAATTAAAGCTGAAATTGATTCATATAAACACTTACACATTTACTGTAATACGTAAAAAGTGTTTTTAAAGTCATATAATTGGACCTCGGGTTTTACACGCTGCTTAACAATGACATATACATTTATTCTAACAAGTACGTAATTTCTGTTACGTGCAGTATATAAGAATGCAATCGTTACAAAGAGAACTAGCGGGATAAATACATATATATATGTAATACTTTAATGCGTAGTAGGAATCCGGTACTTTAACTTCTGGCTGTAGACATGACTTAGTGGAAAAGGCTTGATGAAGCAGGTAACAAAACTAAATGGAAGATTCACCATCTTTATTTTTACACATTTCAAATCATCTCTTTGGCAGACAAATTACTTTTTAATCATCGCTGAAAACAAATAATTTTTATATACACAGGTAGAAAGATACGCCGTCATTTCAGGCAGGAAAGCATAAGCAGCGTGGAGAAGTTGGCATGGCGGAAACTAAGAAAAAGAAACGTAGTTCCTCGCGAAAAAGTAGTATTATACTGCGTAGGTGCATATGTGAATCTAAGCCATGATTGGTTAATTTTAATTTTAGTTACCGTTTTCAAGCAGTGTTATATAACATGGAAAGATCTCGATTTTGGGAGAACAGATTAATTTAGGGACAAAGCGCTAAATCTAGTATCGTAAATTTTGAGGCTGCTAATTATTTTTAAAGCAGCTATCGTATTTTCATATATCTTACATATATATCTTAAGGCAACAATTACAGATAAATGTACGTGTAAAACAGTTATTATTAAAGCGTAAGAGCCTCAGTAATATTTAATCCAATCACATAAATATACTTATTTAAACTAATAGCCAAAATAAAGCTTTACGGAGATTTACGGGCATTTAAATTTATAAATCCAAACTATAGTGATATTAATTTGCAGTAAGTTTGTACATGTATTTTAAACGACAAAATATAAATATACTGCTTGATGATTGGAATTAAACACAAATTGAAACAATGAGAGGAAAAGAGAAATGCTCTTTCAAAGGATATTTTACATGCGAAAATCTTATATCTTAATGTGGCATGTGAAATATATGTATTGCAATTTTTGATTGTATCATATAATTTAAAGTTGTATTTTTTGTTTTTATTTTTCTATTTACGCTTATTCATTCTTTCTATTTTTATCATTTTCAAATAACGGTAATACGTTTTCAGCTGGAAGTATACAAATTTTGGTTTTTATATACTTTCATTCAAATTTTAATCGTTCATTGATTTCTAGTATTAACTCAGAGTAATTAATATAAATATAATGAACAATGAAGCAGTTGTTTAGGCTATTTCAAAGTAGGAGATATGAAAAATGAGCAATGCCCTCACCGGGACTCGAACTACGGACCTCTCGAATACGTGCCGAGCGTGCTGACCATTGCACCACGAAGGCATGCTAAGAAGGCGGGAGAAATACTTTATACACTCCCCTTTTAAAGGGCGACTAGGGATTAGAAGACCCAGTCGCCAAATCCTGGTGGTGAAGAATCAGCATTTACCACCTTTTTTAGTTTGGGCGGCACTGCAAAGACATTAGGCTATTTCGAAGTAGGAGATGTGAAAAATGAGCAATTCCCTAGCCGGGACTCGAACCACAGACCTCTCAAATACGCGCCGAGAGTGTTGACGATTACACCATAAATGCACGTTAAGAAGGCTGGATAGTTTGGCTGTTGTAATCTAAAAACTACTAAGGAAGCAATTACAAAAGCAAAACGCTTTATGAAGCTCTATATAAATTCAGTTCTTTAAATGATATGAAGAAATAATTTCGCATTTATTACTATCCGGCGTAAAATTAACGCTTTGATAAAACATAGTTTAATTTCAATCTTCATTGATATTTCGAAATAAGAAGCAAAAGGAATCAATATTTTTAGAACTTTAGAGTAGTGTTTTTCAAGCTTTCTGGCACTGTGACTCATACGCATATTCGTATTTATTATGAGGGAGTGAGGGAAAGACTAGAGATAGAGAGAAGCGCTAGATGAAAATATTACAATAAATGAAATGTGGATATTTATATATAATCAATAGCAATAAAGTAATAATTATAGATGACGATATATCTTACCATTTAGCAAAAGATGAAAAACTTTCAGGTTTTACGACCCACCAGACGTTGTCGTTTGGTGCACTATTGGTGCTTTGGAAATATAACTACTGAGTATAATTTAGGATATTATTTAATTTGTTTTCATTAGCTGAGAAACAAAGATTCCTGAAATCTGATTTTTTAAGCTCCCAGGATGCTGAAAATCAAGTGATTTAGTTTTGCTTGTGATTGTAATTAAAATAATGCTTCTGGATACAGAAATATTGACAGCCTTTGTTCTCTAATCAGATTTTATTTTGCAATAAGTCACTTTTTACACATCAACATACTACCCATCGTCTTAAGCTAATTCAGATAACTTTTATTGCAGTCGTATTAGGTATCTGTTATTGTAATGACTAAAAAATAATACAGATTCGATTTGCATAGCTACGTGAAATACTATACAAATCAATATGTCACTGAGAAGAGAGAACAATTTCACTTACTGCATGGAAAGAAGTATAATGATTACCTGTGCAAGATTTGCCATCTGGTGATGGCATCAATCCACCGGTGCAATGACAGGAATGAGAACCAGCATAATTTGTGCATTTACCGCCACTGCAAATGTCAGGAATATCTCTACATTCATCAATATCTAGCAAAAAACAAATTACAATAATATAACTGTGTGATACAAGCTGATTTACAAATAATGTAGATATAGAAATTACTATACTATGAAAATTTTTATTTATATTTAAAATCTTGTATGATATATGCAGCGAAGTTGCATAGCATTTTTTATGTAAAATAAAATTATAAGAACTGTAAAATGCCTCAAGCTTCCGTTACTAAAACTAATATTTTTAATGTTTCATTTTACCTGACCATTAAAATCTTTCATATATTTATTAATGTTCTATAATCTAGAAAGAGATTATAGAACATTACATACGTACTTTTACATACGTGATATAGAACATCACAACTTTAGAAATTTAATCATTCATAATGTGTGACAGGATACAGACTTCCGGGAACTGAATTTATAAGAGAACGTATATATATATATAAAGATAATTATTATATCGTTATTGAGTTATAATCTAAATCTTTTTCTGTTAGAAAATTAATAGTTGTTGCAAGCGGTGAAACCCCCCGGGCCGAAACAAGTTCAGCCATCAAGCCATAACATGAGCCAACTCGGAAAACAATAACAGAGAACAGCGAGCCAGCCATGTTCCATTAAATTATACAATCCAAACAAAATCCCTGTCGTTTCTCTGTTGTGATTAATTCTCATCATAATTTCTTCAGCTACTTGTTTAAATTTCTCATAATTTTCAAAATACCCATTTATACCAAACTGGTGTCTCTGGACTATGTCCGTAGTAAAACTACAAGATTCAAGGAAGTGGCAATTATTACCTTTTACTTTACAAAATTGACAGTTTTCACCAAATCTCTTAAAATATTCTGGGAATCGTCCGTGACCAGAAATAATTTGGTTTATATCTATATTATTAAATATCTATTTCCTTTTATCAATTAAAAAAATCTGACATAACCATTATTTTTTTAAAGACGATTTCCAATTTTCTTTCCATTCCACAAATATCTCCTTTTGCATAATATTCAATAACTTTCTTTTCGAATACAACACTTCAATATCTTTCTTCCCTAGACCTTGAGCAGCTTCCTTTGCCAGCGTGCCCGCCATCTCAATACCCAACATGGGCCTTGATCCAGTGTAAATTTATATTATATATTTCATCCAGAAATTTGAAATCATTTTTAATTTGGTTTATTAATAAATTATTAGTGTGCGCATTAAACATTGCATATAAAGCAGACAAAGTATCGGAATAAATACCTATTTTATGTATGTAAGTCAAATTTTCTTTAATCCATTATAATCCCTAAAAAATTGCTCTAATCTCAGCTTGAAAAACTGAATTCAGTGGAGTTAACGAATATTTTTGGTACTCGATCTCTGTTTCATCCAAAAAAATTACACATGAACAGCCAACTCCATTACTCATTTTCGATCCGTCTGTATAAATATCAATCTGACCTACATACAAAAAGTTCTTATCAAATGTAATTACAGTTTTTTCGGCCGTATGGGTATCTATATCACAATACTTATTAAGAACTTCCTTATAATAACCTCTTTAATCTTTAATTCATCAATAAAACCATTAACCAATAAAAATTTATGATAAAAATACCTGTATTATATTGAGAAGGCAAGAATACATGCCACCGCTGTTGAGACTGTTCTAAATATTATTGTTACTGCTAGCATCCAGCCTCGCTACACTCCAAATTTTTGTCTCAGCTATATTAGCTCCCCTGCTCGGACACTTCATGGAACAACACCATACATAATTACAGGTGTAATGACATTTCTAAATAAAAACCCCAGGGTGGTACTCTTTTGAGCAATAACACCAGATAAAAATGCATTTTTATAATGTTTTAACATAGCGTCAGTCCTTTGAATACTTTTAAAATGTTCTATAAAGTTCAATTTACAATCAATAAGGATCCCTAAATATTGAATTGAGTCTAAAAACGTAATTCCTTTCTCATTAAACTTTATTGTAGGGGGTCTAACACATTTACCACCTCGAGAGGAAAAAGGCCATGTGTGTTTTGGATATTAAATTCAATGTATTCTTCATTACTCCAATTCATCAATTTTCGTTCCACTTCCACAAATTTCTTTTAAATTGTTTCCAACGAAACATCATAGATCAAGAATAAAATATCGTATGCATAACATATTATATCCACATTATCCATATTTATATTCTAATAAGTTTATTGGCGATGAAGCTCCAAAACAGGGAAGCGCTGCACAAGCCCTGTGGACAACCTTTATTCAAATATCTTTCAAGAATAACTTCATTCTGATTATCAAGGAGGATAATTTTTCTTTGACTCAAATGGTTCTTAATTCTCTTTAGCATTCCACAAGTAACTTCAAGTTTCTTTACTTCTGCAATAATTTACTGCCAACGAATAGAGTCAAATGCCCCTACCCAGACATCCAATGAAACCAGGGTCAATTGAAATTCTCTCTTCCTCTGCCTAATTTTATTTATCAAATGAAATAAGGCTTATTTCGCTGATCTACCCTTCAAGTATCCGTATTGAAATAGTATAGTTGTATCCATTTAATAATTCAATCTATTTCTTAACAATTTATCCAGCATTTCACCAAACGCCTTCAATAAACTTATAGGTCTAAATGCGTCACTATCGTTGCGAATCAAGATCAATTTTGGAAAAATTCTCAAATTCAAACATATATTATAAAGTATAACAAAAATGAAGGGTAGATATGAAACATCTCTTTAACAATAGGGACCCCGATCCCATCCATTCCAGGGACACTCTGATTTCTCAATCCCTGCACGACCATAAAATTTTCTTGAATTGTAAATTTCATTATCATCATTTTCTTCTACGACAATTCGTGGATCGGTTTCATCTTCTCTTCCCAAGATTTCATCGATCAATATTTTATATTTCTCTTTTATTTGTAATCTGCTCTTCACCAAATTTTTTATATAAATTATATTTTCCCTTTTCTTACCTGATGCTAATTGATAATTAATGTCATAGTTTTCCAATGACTTTATAAAATTATCTATTTTATATTTCGTTTTAATGAATTATACATTTTTCTTGTATCTGGCCAACTCCCTTTTATATTTAATTTTTCTGACACTTGTCAATTATTCATCAATTTTCTTTTTTGTTTAACCACATCTCTTCTTTTTAAACGCAAACATTTATCCATCTTTAGCTGAATTCTTCTTTCAAAGTCTTCAATAATTTCAGTAAAGCTATCCTAACTATTTGTTGTACAAATCTCCTTTTCTGTTTCAAAAATATCAAGACGCATCTTTCTACAAAAGCCATAAATTCGATTTCTATTTTTCCATTTTAGTTCAATCAAAATAATTTGTTTCTAAATAAATATATCTATAATCACTAATTCGGAAGTCAAACAACAAAAATCAGCGTTATATTTTCAAACTTTTCGCAGGACTAGTTTCGATGGTTTTACCGAACCACCATCCTCAGCTGCAAAATCGCAATAACGCTGATTTTTGTTGTTTGACTTCCGAATTAGTATTTATTCGGCGTGTTATTGTGTCTTAATTATATCTATGATCACTCATAGTTTTCTCGTTTAAAATTTCCATCACAATTTTACTTATATCCATTTAATAGTTATGATAATTAATAGTTATGACAACCTGCAATAGAAGCTAGAAATACTTCAAGTACTTACGGGTGGTAATTGTACAAAACGGTATCTTGAAGCAGCGGATGATACGGATTGCAAAAATATGAATTTTCACATTGCTTTTTAAACTGAAAAATAACGGCAACTTACGGTATTAATGACAAGAATCGGTAGTAAGAAAGCCATTGTGGAAAAGTAAGCTGCATTTAAAAATAATATAAAAATTTTCTTCTTTAACATCGTTATTAAAATTAATTAAAAACAATACAGTAATAAATGTGGTTCTTATAAAATAACTCTAATAAAATTTATTTCATTATTTCTAATTTAAAGCGTTTGTTATTCGATATTAGACTACGTATTTAATTGGAAGAGAAAGAAGCCAGTTGTTCCCTCCCTATGTAAATTTTGATTCTGTTCTCTGCAAAAGGGCGCCTGCGAGCGCTGAATTATATCTGTTGTACCAACTTGTTCTTCTCACGGCTAATAAACGCAATAATGAACGTGTGTGTCTATTTTCCATCCACTATAAGGGGTCCGTCGAGACGGAGCAATACTTTTGGATGACGTGTCAAGACATTTTGAACGTTCTGAAATAGAAAGATATTTCGTACAAAGAAAACGGATTATTTTGTATCTGGATTGTGAGAATAGCAGCCAGAATATGGAGTCTATCTTAAAGCAAAAGCGAATCATTAAGGGTAAGTTGACTCGTTTAATTTTACAAGTAAATAGTTTACAAAATCAAGAAAATTCTCTTTCTGTTATTCAAGTGTATGAAAATGATGTTAGTGCATTGGATGTTGAAGTGAAGAGTTTAAACGATAACATTCTTGGTACTTGTTCTGACGCAGAGTTTAATAAGTATGAAATAGAAATGCATGAACTGTTTTTTAAATTGGATGTATTAAAAATTACTTTAAAGGAAAAATTAAAAAAAAACTTACTAATCCATGTCAAGATATAATAAATGCTAAGGCAAATAGTTTAAAACTTCCTCGCGTAGAACTGCCAGTGTTTAGTTCTCATTACGTTGATTGGATATCATTTAGAGATTTATTTCTTGCCAGTGTTGGAAATAATAGTAGATTAAGTGACAGTCAAAAATTGCAATATCGTAAGTTTTCTGTAAGAGGTGAAGCTTCTGTTTTACTACAATCAGTTCAAATTTCAAACGCGAATTATGAAAAGACGTGGAAAGCGCTTACTGAACGTTATGAAACCAAAATAGAAATAACAAACGCAGAGCTAAATAAATTAATTTCACAGCCTGTTTTAAAACATGAATCAGTTTCAGGTTTGTGGAGATTAATTAATACAACACAACAGTGTATTGATACATTAAAAATCCTTAAACAGCCAGTAGAGCATTGGGATACTATGATTATTTT